CTTCAAAGGTTGTTTTCTTAAATTACTCTTATTCCTGTCATCTGCAAAACAGAATTGTCCTTTTAAGGATATGAATCCCATATTTCCTGTCACTCCTGTATAAATTTGCAAAGATAGTGTTTATTTCAGAACAAATTTACTGGTAGGTATCCAACTGTAGCATACCATCTAGAATTAATACTCTTTTTGCATATGATCGGTTGAATAATGTGGTGTTTTGTCTTTAGCCCTGTTGAGGAGGACAGAGATACAAAGACAATCCCAAAAGATGAGAAAGGTATGTTTTATGGTGTGATTTTTGTTTGTTTTTTGTAGAAAGTGTGCAAATGGCTTGGGAAGAAATGTTACGGGGTCAATTCTAACCGTTACTTGTGAGTCAATGGTAGTAAGTAAACGGTCAAAGGAGCAAATAGAGTAATAGTTGTACTCGCTTTTTGACCTAACCTTTCTTGTGTCTTGTTAATTCCCTAAGCATGCGTGTATCTTCACTGTAATAGTAATATTCAAGTCCCACTAGCTTCGTGACTGCTGATAGGTACTGGCAAGACCAGAATTTGTCTGAAAAATTTCCCCAAATACCTAGATCAATAGGTTTATTCTTTGTGTGTCAATTCTGGTGAGAACTGTTACTTCTGTGAACCCTCAATGCAGTTGTAACATAAGCCTTCAAAGCGTGAATTGTAGATACCCATTCACGTAACTTCTGTAACCTTACTAACTGACAGTTTTTAAGAAAGTCTTGTGAATTAACATTTAATACTTTGTAATTACCATAAAAGGGATTGACATGTAGGAAGACAGTTTGTAGATGAAAACTTATTAAGACTATTCAAATGCTCCTAAAGGTGGAGTTCAGAAGTTTATTTTTGCAGGCTGAAATTCTGTTGATTTTGAGATTAATTGGAAGAGGTAGAAGTAAAATTGCTTTTGAAGAGGTTTATGAAGGAAAAAAAAAAGTGAGCTTTGTAGGGCAATTGCTTTTTCACTGTTGCATTCTTGTGCTACATGGCCTTTCATGTTTGGCTTTTTTTGTACCTTAGGCCGTGTGGGTAGTGGTTCTGGCAGGAATTTGTGGGTTAGTGGACTTTCATCCTCTACTAGAGCTACAGACTTGAAGAATCTTTTCAGCAAGTATGGAAAGGTATGTAGCAGATACGTAAATTAACAAACCATTTTGTCAATTTAAAAGGATGACCTTAAATTTAGCTCTTATTTTTCTTAATGAATAGCTGGGTAGGCTAAGCACTTAACTTTCTTGTGTTCTTTTGAAACTCTGTATCTGAAAATAGGATACTTCATAAAGAAAATTGCCCCCCCATTTCAGACAGAAGTCCACATTTATACAGGTAATTCAGAGAATCACCTGTAAAAATGAGGCAATTCTTGACAGGAGAGACTGGTGGGTCATGATCTAGTGTGCCATACTCTAATTATACCTCTTGGGTGTCCAAGGATAGTTAATGATGCTTCAGACAGTTCTGTTTCAAGGGGTATTCCTTTGAGAAATCTGGTCTTTGAGGGCAGGCTTCCATTTGTTCTTCAGTGCCAGGCAGGATATGAGAGCAGAAGTTGTGGAAGGGAACTCTTCCCATGATCATCTCCCCTTCCTCTTAATACATTTCTGAATGTAATATTAAATGTTTGTGTTACTAAGTGTGTGCCTCTGCACTGTTGGAGGTTGTTATCTGTGGGTAGAAACTAGCAGAGGTGTCCTGTATGAAAAGACAAAGTGGTGGTAGGTTTTTTTATTTTAATTTTTATTATTACACCCCCACTCTCCTCCGTATATATATGTCTTCCTTGAGTTATTGACCTGCACAGCAACTTGAAGGTGAATTTTCTGAGCTGGTTATTATGGCGGTCTCTTTATCAGCAGAGCTGTGTCAGCAGTCTGTTCCACAATCAGATTTATCTGTTTCATAGAATTTTGTTTGTGTTATACTTTTTTCAGAACACATGGGGAATAATACTGAATTTGAACCTTTTCAGCTGTGTTTGTGTTGCCATTGACTTGGGTGTAAACGCTGTTCACATATTCTGTGAAGTAGTCTTTAGTGAGACACTTCTAGAATATGGTTGGCCCAAGAGTATAGAGGTCAAGTTAAAACGATAACCTTTCCTTTGCTGCCTGTCAAACAAGCCTAGCAACGTTGTCTTCTGAGAATGCTAATGGAATGCTGTGCACCGAACATATTTTCTCCCTGTTAAAAGTGGATAGCCGCTATACTATGCAGAACCAGTAGATAAAGCTGCTGAAATGGTGATTAAGTTAGAATTTATTTGGCAACAGATCTGCAAACACAGAAATTTTTTTTTTTTTTAATCCACCTCCCCGCCCCCCCCAGGTGGTTGGTGCAAAAGTAGTGACAAACGCTCGCAGTCCTGGTGCTCGCTGTTACGGCTTTGTTACAATGTCAACATCTGAAGAAGCCACTAAGTGTATTAATCATCTCCACAGAACAGAGCTGCATGGAAAAATGATTTCTGTGGAAAAGGTAAGGGGTAGCTATTCCATGACAGTGTAATGAAAATAAAAGTGTGCAAGTTTAATGTCTGTCTATTATATAGTCACACATATAACTATAATAATATCTGTTACTATAAAAATATTTCTGGCCAAAATTCCAGGCAAAAAATGAACCAGCTGGGAAGAAGCCTTCGGACAAAAAGGAAGGTGAAACAAGGAAGGAAAAAGACAGGCACCATTCTGCAGAGTCCAAATCTGAGAAGTAAAGTGTTTTTTGGTATTTTTCTGTGTTTAAAGGCCACTCATTTGAAATGCAGCCACATGAGCAAAGTGAACAGAAACTGTAATAAATCTTGATTTGCTGCTTCATACTGCATCTGAAATAGGAGTCATACTGTGAAATTGAAATTGGTGTTCTACAGAAGTAGGTGCATTTTAATTAGCCCTCTGTTCAGAAATATGGAGCTCTTCAGGGTTTAGTATCAAAACTTGTCAGTTATACCTAGATAAACCATTATTATTATCAGAACTGTTTTCCTCTGATCTGACTCTGGTTTGGTCTGTTCTTTTAACTGACAAATATTTGCAGGACTTAGTCTGTCTTTTTGATAGACTGTCTGCATGGTTAGCGAATGATACTTCAGTATTTGTTTCTCAAGTGGTCTGTTGCTTCTGAAAGAGGCATTTTGCTTTACTACTTTTTGCTCTCATAAAATTTTAAAAGATTTGGCAAAGGAGATGCTTTGGCAGGCTGGCCTGCTTGCATCGGGTGTTTAAGGCATTTGTTTACAAAAGCTCTTCTGGTGGAGCTTGACCTCTACCTGGGTGGGCCCTCTTTCCCCCTATGCTAAGGGGAACTTTACTTGTAGGCAAAACAGAAGACTTTGACTTCTAGTGCTCAAAGTCTGCAAATGTTCAAGAAGGATAATCTGCTCTTTCTCACTTTTGGTCAGCTTTAGCTTAGTATTGGTTGCTGCCCTTAATTGTGTGTATGAGTATGCATTGGCTTCCGCACAGCAGCATGGGAGGTATTGGGAGTGGGTATTTGAGAGTATTTTCTGGAGGTTTTTTGTGTTGAGTTTTTTGGGTGTGGGTTCGTTTGTTTTTTTTTTTTCCCCTCCCTGACATGGTGGCTTGATCAGAGTGGTTATATAGCACTTTTTGTTAGGTTCTCTATTAAATCAAAGTTTACCTATAGGTGTGTTGGTATTAAGAAGGAGGAGAAGACCGACAAAAAAGATGATGCTAAGAAATCAGAAAAAGATGGAAAAGATGAAAAAGAAGGAAAAGAGAAAGAGGAACAAAAGGCTGGATCCTCTGAGAGATCAAGGGCAAGCAAATCAGGTAATTCTAGCTGCCTTTCAGAAACGTTTTCAAGGATACCTGTTTTAAAAACAAATTTTAAAAAATTTAAAATTGCTTAAAAAATAAGCAACTGCGACAAAGCTTCTACGTAGCATCCAAAAAAAATTTCCTTTATCAGCTAAGTAGGGAGTGGAAGAACAAACATAAACATTCAGAATCGTGGCTGATTAGGAGACTTCAGATTCTGCAAACTTCAGTGTTCTTACTAGATGTGATTCATAATTCAGTAAAAAGACCATGAAGCATACGTAGTAGCGCTGAGGTTTTCCTGGTGAACAAAAACGACCACCAGAAAATACCTTGAAAACTTTTTTTCCCTGACTTAGAACGCTAGTAACTTAGCGGCAGTTTTCATAATTCCTGGGCTGTAAATACTCAGTGGTAAACTGTGAATTTTATGGAACTATCACTGGGTTTAGGCCTGACATAGTGTGCAGTGCTGTACACTTTTTTTGGGGTGGTTTGTTTCTTTTTTTGTTTAAAACTGTGGCAAAGGGATGTATTGTGCAGACAGAAGAATTAAATTAAATTTGCTTTCCTCTAACTGTCATCTCTGCCAGAAAACAGTACTGTAATTTTGTGATAGCTTTACTTGCCCCCATCCCCAACCTGGCCAAATCTTGGTAAGCTATTTAAATCATAAATACATTATTTCATAAGTTATTTAAAACGTCAATAAAAGACCTTTTTACTGCTTAGTATCTCAACGGTTTTACATCTTGGAAGAGTATTTTAATGTTTTGCGTATTATTTATTCCCAGATGTATTTTGTTTTCTAGCGAGTCGAGGAACCGAAAGGACAGTGGTAATGGATAAATCTAAAGGAGAACCGGTTATTAGTGTGAAAACCTCTACATCAAAGGAGAGGGTAAGTACAACTTTCAGAGAAGCCTTTGTGTAAAAATAGGTGTCAAATATCTTTATATGCATATAGTTGAAGGGGTTTTTTGCCTTGCGTATTGGGAAGAGTTACCCTTTTATCACTTTTGAGAAAGCATTAGGGTGTTAATGATGCTGCAAAGGTAAATGTTTCACCTTCTTTATATTTTTTGTTGTTGCTGTCCTAGTTGAAGAAGTAGAGTTGCAATATGAAAACAGTGTTAAGGTGATGTGTTTCCCTGAGCGTGGAGTGTGGTGACTGGTGTTTGCCACTGGTGCAAGTCAGATCATGTGCCCCTAGTATTTAAACTCTTTAGAAATTGTATCCAAAATCAGGTACTTTTTCTCTGACCTACTTTTCCATGGAATTCCAACATTATTTACCTCTGGGAAGGTCGTGGTTTAGCCCCAGCCAGCAACTAAGCACCACGCAGCTGCTCACTCACTCCCCCTCCCGCAGTGGGACGGAGGAGAGAATTGGGGAAAAAAAAAACCTCATGGGTTGAGATAAACACGGTTTAATAGGACAGAAAGAAAGAAGGAAACAACAATGATAATACCAACAAAGGAATGTACAGGAATAAGTGATGCCCAATACAGTGATTGCTCACCACCCAGTGATCGACAGCCCGTCCCCAAGCAGCGATTTCCGCCCCCTGGCCAACTCCAGTTTATGTACTGGGCATGACGTCGGATGGTAGGGAATATCTCTTTGGCCAGACTGGGTCAGCTGTCCCGGCTGTGTCCCCTCCCAGCTCCCCGTGCACCCCCAGCCTGCTCGCTGGCCAGCCAGCACAAGAAGCTGGGCTGTCCTTGACTGCTCAGCAACAACCCAAAACATCAGCACATTATCAACAGTTTCTCATCCCAAATCCAAAACACAGTCTCATGCTAGCTTCTGTGAAGAAAACCAGCTCTATCCTGGCTGAAACCAGGACAGTCTGTTTTGTTCAGGTTGGCATAAGGTAGGCCTTTTGCCTAGGAATTGTAGCTAAAAATGCACTGTGTTCAGCTAATGTATTGTTTTGGTTTAACTCAGAGTACAAAAAGCCAGGATCGCAAATCTGAGAGCAAAGAAAAGCAAGACATTTTATCGTTTGATAAAATCAAAGAACAGCGAGAACGTGAACGTCAGAGACAGAGGGAGCGAGAAATCAGGGAAACAGAAAGACGCCGGTGAGTTCTCCCAGTTTCACTCCAAACTTTGAATGGCATTTGTTTTTACTTCCCTTATCTCTGTTTTGAACAGGCTGCAAAGTAGCCTCATGCTGGCCCTCCAGTGCTCCTATCTTGGATCAATATGATACTAATCTATTGATAGAACAGACATAATGCCAAAGTATGAAGGTTTTTACTACAGAAATCTATCTTCTCTAAGCCTATGCTTTTCAGGAGGCTTTTGTTGAATAATAAGTTTTGTAGGTGCTTTCAGGTCTCGTGTTTCATTGAATTCCCATACTTGATTTTTCCCTGGAAGTTCATAAACATTTTCGGTTTGTCAGACTGCTGTCTTTAGGACATGCTGTGCTCTATGAAAGTTTTTTCAGAGCTGACTTACAGTAGATACCATGTTAATTAAGCAGAATGCTTACCCTTGCTTCTGTCATCTGTGTGGACTTTTTTAAACTAGGCAGCTGGGATTTAGTTGAGAAGAGATGATACACATTTAAGTAGGTAGTGGGAAGAACATACAATCTTTAAAAATAAAAAAAAAAAGAAGAAAATGCCTCTCAAAACAAAGAAGGAATAAAGCTTAGATTTAAGATTCTCAATTGAAAACAAAATACCTCTTTTCTCAATTAGAGAGAGAGAGAGGCGAGAACGAGAACAACGCCTTCAAGCTATTCATGAGCGGGATGAAAGACAGAGGCTCCAGAGAGAGCGAGAACGACTTGAATTTCAAAGACAGCGTCTTGACAGAGAGCGCTTGGAGAGGGAGAGATTGGAGAGGGAAAGAATGCACATAGAACAGGAAAGGAGACGAGAACAGGAACGAATCCAGCGAGAGAGGGAAGAGCTGCGACGTCAGCAGAACGGCGATCTGCCATGAGAAGGCCTTATGATCCTGATGGCAGGTAACAATAACCGTAATGAGATTTTCCAAATTCTTTGGCCGTATCTAGTTACAGATCGAGCATTCTATGTAAATTGTGAGCACTCTTGCTAAAGCAGTCATGGGAGGGAGCTCACAGCTGAAAGACTAGCTATATGTTGCTTTTAACACCTCAATAGCGATTTTGAGGAAGAGCACATGTCATACTTGTATACCTGTAGGCACAATTTTATTACAGCAGGTTTAAAATTCTTATTTCCCAAAGAGGAGTGACCGAGAATAGAAGCGCTGCGTGTTGACTCTAAAGCAGGATTGCTTGCAGGAACAGATACTCAATTCTCATATCGGCTTATGCTGAGATGAAACTTTTTGTACATTCTTGATACACCTAGCTTACTCTGAAACTGATGTGCGATGCCTCCTTAACACACGAGGGTTTTTAATTCTAAATTAAAAATAATTGTTTGGATAATTGGATTGAATGAGGTTTGATATTAAGAGAGCAGGAAAGGAAGATTGTTTTGAGATTACTACTAATCATGACCTTTTTTGCAGGCGAGATGACCCATACTGGCCAGAGGCGAAGCGGATGGCCATGGATGATAGGTATCATTCTGAATTTAGTCGTCAAGACCGCTTCCACGACTTTGACCACAGGGATCGTGGCCGATACCAAGATCATTGTTTGGACAGGTCAGCAAGGCGATGTCTTTTCCTGTAACTTTATGGAAATTAGGTGTCTTTTTATGGCTTACTAATGGCTTTAAGGGTGCCGAAAGAGAAGAGCGAAGAAGATGACCCTTGTGCAGTTCTCATGTTTAACTTTATACATGCTTGCAATCCTGTGTTTCCATCATTTCTGGACATGTCGGAAAGAGGCTGCTTTAAGATTATAAGCCAAGTCCTAATGCAGTCTACCGTGATGCCAAGGGAGATTCTACAGCTTCTGTTGAGATCTGTGGAAATCTAGTTTACGAATCCCTGTTCATTAGCCTAAGATTTAGCCATTTCCTTTTGCTTTAAAACTTTCATCTTTTGCAGACTAGCTAACGCAGGTTTTTAGTTCCACAGAATGCAAAAATACTTCCCATGTAGTGGTATTGAGACTTCTTGTTTTGCTGTCAAAGGATCCTTGGCAAAAACCATACCGCTTTGCTTTTGCTTTGTAACTCATTTCTGATACTGGTAGGTTCACTTAGTATTCTCCCTTGGCACCATTGAGTACCTGACAATGCCTCAGTGATGCCTTGATTACCCATACTACAGTAGTAGATGTTACTTTGGTCTCTTTCTGTGCTATGAAACAAGAACTCATTTGAGTATCTTACCATTAAACAAACGTTGTTGTTCTCAGACTCACAGCCTCATAAAGATAAATCTTAATGCGCTATTTCATATGGACATGGGAATTATGATTACTATGTCAATTCAACTGAAGTTTCTCTTTTTTTTTTTTTCCAGAAGAGATGGTTCAAGAGGAATACCAGATCGAGATGGGCAGGTGGGTTATACCCAAATAAGCAGTTCAGTTAAAAAGCCAAACAAACCAACCCCAAAGAGGAAAGAACATAGTGTGCACGCTACCTAGTTCTGAAATGCAACGATCACTGGGTTTAAACTGAGCAGATAATCAAGTAGCAACTGATTTCGTGCACTAACATGCAGAACCTAAGTTATTGAGTTACCTGCTCACTGGGCCAGTAGCCACAGATCGGGGTGGGGGGATACCTCTGAGCCTTTAATTTAATTTCTGAAGAGAGACAGGAAGTAGGCAGATACTCTATGTAAAAATTAAAAATCTGGAGCCAGAATGTAAGCCTTAAAAACACCCTACCAAACAAAAGCACCCTACTAAATAAAAAGCCTCGAACCAACAAGCAGAGCAGAATCTGTGCTGTGGAACAAAACAAATGCCTAGAGTGAACTGCGCACAGTAGCAAACATGGAACCAGTAAAAAAACAAGCTGACAGCTAAACTACTGAGGAGCTGAAGTTTTGCAATCCTAAAAGAAGACCTGTATTCTTAGCGTAACTCTGTACCGTTTGCCTTCCAGCATTATCCAGATGAACGCCACGGAGGGCCTGATCGTCACTCCCGGGATAGTTGGGGTGGCTATGGGTCTGACAGAAGAATGAGTGATGGGAGAGGGATGCCTCCACAAACCCGGTTAGTGCATATAAAATAAGGGAAGTGATTTGTTGGTTCTTAAAATGTTAATGCTTGGTGAATCATCAAAGGGTGACAGCGGAAGCATTTTGACAAGTGTGAATCCTCTCTCCAGATAGTTTCTTTGAGCATCTGGAAGAAGCAAGGAATTCACACATGTAGTTCCCCCACGCATCAAGAGAACGGAGCGTTGGTAGTGAGTAAAGAAGTGCTGCTCAGTTAGCTCCACTCGTAACTGTGGTTCTCTTGTAATAACTTTCCTTTCTACAGATGCGATTCATTCCTGGACCGGATGTTCCAGTAATGCCTACAAAAGTCTCGTAGGTGGCTAGTGGTCAAGTTTTAAGGAAATAGTGTCAGAATCTCTGTAACGATGCGGGTGGGGAACCGAGACTCATCTAGAATCCTATCTGTTTCTCTTTAAACCAGCTAGTCAAGCTAGGCATATTCCAGATGCATAATGTTCGGTTCTACACAAAAAAGAAACCAGGCAGAGGAATGGCGGTCAATGACTTGTTCATGTTTAAGTATATTAGCACATTGCGATACTAATTATGTCTCTGTAGATGAGAAAAAGATGAGCTTTGTTGTACAAAGGATGCTGTTCAACAAGTTTCTCGTCATTTCTTTTTGACCGGTTTTTATTGCAGTGATTGGGTGGCTATAGATACAGCTTGATTAACAATTTAATACACTTTTGTACGGGGTACAGTGTTTGGCTTTACCCTATGGTGCTAAATGGATAAGGGACACACCTAGAAGATGTTCTTTTATTTTTTTAAGAGATGGACGTGACTGGGGAGATCATGGTCGAAAGTTAGAGGGGCATCAAGATCGTTCATGGCAGGGAAATATGGATGGAGGAATGATGGGACGGGATCATGAGAGATGGCAAGGTACACTTGCTGCTTACCAGTGTGATCGTGGTTTTTTCTATGAATTACTGCTGCTGAACAACTAGCAGTAGTTAAAATTCCTATGGAGCTTTAACAGCATTACTGAGAAAGCAAATAAAATTCTGGGAGCAAGGTGGCTTTTTTTATTAGGAAAACACAAAAGTATGTCACTCTTTTCTTTTATTTTTTCCTTTTTTTTTTCCTTTTTTTTCAAATTAGGTGGTGATAGAAGCATGCCTGGTCAGTCAGGACCAGGCCATGTGATGAATCGAGGAGGGATGTCAGGGTAAGAAGCTTTGTCAGAGTGCTTATAATGCTTTTGTAACAGTTGACTGATGTGAATGAAAGAAGAAATTCCTGTGGTAATTGTTAAAAATAATACTTTCAGCTAACTATGGATTGGCAAGCAGAAAAAAAATAAGCAAACACCTTCTCAGAGTCACAGTAATATTAACTTTTCTGGGCAATTTTCAATTTGTCTGGTCTTGTTTTTAGGCGTGGAGGCTTCACACAAGTTGGAAACCAGAGCCAGATGATGCAGAGTAGCGGAATACACGGAATGTTTGTGGGCCAGGAGCGGACAAACAGACCGACTGAACCTCATTTTACCCGCCGCTACTGAAAGCACTATATATATACATATATATATTTTTTTTTTAATGCCAGATAATAAAATGGTGGTGAATTTTATTAACTAGGGTCACCTTGAATTTGTGATTACAAACTCCTGAGACAACGTAGCCAAATACTATATCAACTTGTTGGTTTGTTTTTTTTTTTTTTTTTTTTGTGGGTAATAAACGTGTTCTTGGTCAAACATCACTTAAAGTTTCTGTTAGTGAAACATTCCATTTTTCAAAAACAATAAAATAATTTTATGGCTACTGATTTAAAATGTTTGTAGAGTCTTTAGCAATATGCCTCTCCCAAGGGGCTCAAAAGGCAGTAATGAGACAATCCCCTTTCAAAACTGTGCCATTATAAGGGATGCAGTGAATCTGATGCTGTGGATGTGCAGGTCCTTGCCTGCATTTGAAGGAAGAGGGATCAATGTGTTTTCTCATTTTTCTCCCACCTGTTATTACACCATGTATGAGTAGAAGGCACTGCCGTCCGAAGCCAGAAATGCTGGAGCCCCAAGCTGCTGGTACAATGCCTTACACAATAGTTTAGTTCCCAATTTACCATGTAGGTGTCCTGTGTTCACCTAAAAGTGAAACTGAGTCTAGATGCCTGTCCCTGTTCTAGTGTCTCTATGCCTGTGCTGCTCTGCATCACTCTTTCTGTACTATTGATCCCTCTTGCCCCCCCCGCCATGTCTTACCTGGCCACTTAGCCCTCTTTCCCCTACAAGGCCCAGGAGAGTGGGCAGCAGGTGCCCTTCAAAGCCTGGGAGAACCATAATCCCTTTTTCATCTCCATGCCCCCGGGACCCTTCTGCTCTTGCTACATTGCCTCCTGAAGCCACATCCCTTGCTTTAATTTCTCCCTCTCTGACCTTGTTGCCCACTGGGTTTCCCCTCTGCTTTTCTCCGTTTCACTTTTGCCTCCTGTCCCTCTTTTTTAATTCCTCCCTATCTGGCATGTAACCCATTGCATTTTTCTTTTCTCCATCCAGCTCCCCATCCCTATTTATCAATGCCTTCCTCGTCTTCCTGCACCCACTGCTATTCCCTGCATACTCCAGCTCCCTGTCCCCAGTTTTTAACTCCTCCCTCTGTCCCCCCATAGCCTGTTGGGAATTTTTCCTGTCTCTCTGGTTCCCTCTCTCCATGTTTTAATTCCACATTCTCTGTCCCATAGCCCCATGCTATTTGTCTGACTTTCTCTACCTCTCTCTGTGTGGCTCCCTGCTGCTGTTTTTTATTTCCTCCACGTCTGTCTTGTAGCCCCTCACTCTTATTTTTTTCTTTCTCTGTGTCTCTTTTTTGTCTGGTTCCCAGTCCCTGTTCTTTAATTCCTCCTTCTTCCCTGTAGCCTGCTGCTATTTTTTTCCATTCTCCATCACGCTGCATCTCATGCCCTATCCCCATTTATCAATTCCTCCCTCTCTGCCCTGTGGCCCATCACTTTCTCCCATTTTATTTCTGTCTCAATCTTTCCGCTCTTGTCCCGCTCCCCATCCCTTTCGTTCACAGCATCCCATTTTCTGGCTCCCTGTCCCACACCTCTATGTCCCTCCTCCCGCTTTTCTCCCTCTGTCCTGCTGTGTTTGGGCACTGAGCCTTGCAGCCAATTCACTGCCAGGATTTCTTAGGTGCATTAATGAATAACATTTTCCTGCCTCCTCTGTGCCCCCGGCTGTGGTCGCAGCCCCGGGGGCAGAGCTCGTGGTTGTGGACAGGTTCAGGGAAAGGGGCCCTGTGCCGTGGGGCTTTGGCCACGGTCCCTGTTACCGATGGGCTCCAGCTGGGGCTGGGGCAGCCCCAGGTGTGGCCAGTGAGGCTGAGGGGGGGCTGGCCCTGCTGTGTGACGAGGCTCTGGCTGTAAAGGGGGCTGGCTGGGCATACCTGCCTGAGGGAGCTGGTGAAGGGGAACTGGCTGAGACATGAATCCGAGGGAGTACTGCAGGTAGGTGCCTCCAGCAAGGAACGTGCAGTCCCTGCAGCAAGGAAAGAGCCCTCTGAGCCGTCCCCAATAGAGCAGACCAGCAGCACGTGGTGCTGGGAGCTCGGTGCCTCCGCCGGCTACGTGTGTGAGCTGCTATGGATCGAGGAAGCCTTGCGGATGAGAAACATCGAGGTGTTCACTGTGCATTGCTGAGCAGGGGAGGGTCGGGCAGGCAGCACCGCAGAGGAGGAAGGAGCAGAGGCAGAGAGAGAAGCGTCAGGATGGGGAAGGTCTCCAGCCGGCACCAGTAGCTGCGGCGAGTCACGCGTTCTCTCGTGTGCGTCCAGGTCCACCTCTGCTCCCCTGCCCCGGAGCTCTGCCTGCCTCCCTGCCTGTCCCTGCTTCCGTCTCCCTCTCCGCTGGCCCACCGACCTGCCTGGCTCCCCGAAACCTGTTACTCTTCTGCTGACTCTGCCCTGGACCATTTCACCTATTGATTTTTTCCTGTGTTTCCCTCTTGGCGGCTCCCTCTCCCCGTTTTTTAACGCTTTCCTGTGTTTCTTGTACCCTGTTGCATTTTAATTTCTCCTTCTTCAGTTCCCTGTCTCTGTTTAAGTCCTCCCTCTGTCCTGTACACCATCGCTTAAAAAATTTTCTTTCTGTTTCCTTCTAGACATCTCCCTCTCCCTATTTTTAAAATATCTCCTGTGTTTCTTGTACCCCATTACTTTTAAAATTTTCTTACTATGGTTCCTTCCATCTGTCTTCCTGTCCCTGTTTTTTTAATATTCCTGTGTTCCTTGTACCTGATCACGATCTACATTTTCTATGTTGTCCTCTGTCCCTCTCCCTGTCTCTACATTTTAATCCTTGCCTATGTTTCTTGTACTCAGTTGCTTTTTAAAATTCCTTCTAGATCTCTATCCTGCTCCCTTTCTTGATTTTTTTTTAAATTCTTCTGTATATTTCTTGTACCTCATTGCTATTTATTTTCTCTTTCAACAATTCCCTTTATTTGTCTCCCTTTCCCTAAATTTTAATTCCTTTGTTCCGTATACCTGTAGCTTTTAAAATTTTCTTTCAGTATTTCCTATTCTCATCCCTGTTCCTATATTTGAATTCTTTCCTGTGTTTCTCGTAGCCTGTCGCTTTATAATATTTCTTTCGGCGTCTGCCTCTGACTCCCAGTCCCTATTTTTTTAATTCCTCCCTTTCTGTCCTGTACCCAGTCGCTTTAGCAATTTTCTTTCTATGTCTCCATTTATTTTGTCTCCTGTTCTCTGTCAATTTCAAATTTTATTTCTATGGCTGCTTTTATTCTGTTCACTGTCTTTATTTTTAATTTTTTTTTTCTCTGTCCTGTGTGCCATCGCTTCTGAATTTATTATTTCTCAGTTTTAGTTCACTGTCACTATTTCTAAAATTTTTCCTGTCTGTCCTGTACCCAATCACTTATAAATTTTCCTTCTATGTCTACTTTTATCAGGCTGTGTATCAGTGGTTTTTAATTTGCCTGGCTATCGTGTACCCCGTCACTTTTTACATCCGCTTTCTATGTCTACCTCAACCTATTTGCTACCTTTATTACTTCTTTGTTTCCTTAATCACCATTGCTTTTAAAAATTTCTGTGTACTTTTATCCCATTCACAGTCTTTATTTGCCTACCCCTACTTTTTAATTAACTTCTTGCCTTTCTTTAGGTCCCTCACTTTTAAAATTCTCTTTCTACATCTGTTTTAGTTTGCTGTTCCTATTTTTTTATTTTTTCCTTTTACTTCCCTAGTCCCCCTCACTTTTAAGATGTTCTTTCTATGCCTACTTTTTTCCTTCAATGTCTTTATTTATTCTCTTTCCTTAGTGCCCTTGCTTTTTACATATTCTATGTCTCTCTTCTGGTTCTCCATCACTGCTTTTTAATTTTTTCCTTATCGCCATAATCACTATCACTTTTAAAATTTTCTGTCTACTTTTATCCCGTTCACAGTCCTTACTTGCCTACGCTTATTTTTTAATTAATTTCTTGCCTTTCCTTAATGTCCTCGCTTTTTAACTTTTCTTTCTCCAACTCTTCTCATTTGCTGTCTTTTTTGTATTTTATTCCTCTATTTCCCTAATGCCTATTGCTTTTTAAATGTTCTTGCTAGCTATGCTTACTTTTATTCCCTTTGATGTCTGTATTTTTAATTATTTCTTGTCTTTCCTTAGTGCCGTCCCTATTTAAATTTTCTTTCTACATCTTTGTTTGTTTACTGTCCATATTTCACTTTTTTTTTCCTTATTTCTTTAATCCCTGTTGCTTTTAAAATTTTCTACTTTTATCCCGTCTGCTGTCTTTATTGCGCTGTCTTTATTGCACTGTCTTTTGCTTTTAATTTTTTTTCTGGTTTCTCTTTATTGCAGTCACATTCAAAGTTTTCTTTCTACATCTGTTTTACTTTGCTGTCCCTATTTCTATTTTTTCCTTTATTTCCCTTACGCTTATTGCTTTTAAAATGTACTTTCTAGGCCTACTTTATTTTTCCCCCTTCAATGTCTGTATTGTTAATTTTTTCTTGTCTTTCCTTAGAGCCATCCCTTTTTCAATTTTCTTTCTACATCACCTTAGTTCACTATCACTATTTTTTAATTTTATTACTTAAGTTCTTAATCCCCATTGCTTTTAAAATTTTCCACTTTTCTCACATTTGGTGTCTTTATTTCTAAATTATTTATTGTCCTTTTCCTTAGTGCCATTGCTTTTTAATATTCCTGCCTATGTCTGCACTTAGATTGCTGTTGCTACTTTTTAGTTATTTCCTCTCAATCCTTTGGCTTTTAAAATTTTCTACTTTTGCCTCATTTGCTGTCGTTATTTATTAATTATTTTTTTTATTTTTTAATTAAGGGCATTGCTTTTAAAATTTTCTGTATTTTCTATTTTAAAAATTTCTATCTCTAACTTTTATGTAGTTCACTGTCCCTACTATTCAATGTTTTACTCATAATTCTTTTCCTTTTGAAATTTTGTTTCTTGGTGTACTTTTATCTAATTTTCTGTCCCTACGTTTTGTTTTCCTGTTTCCCGCAACCTG